CTGTACTTCTTCCAGGATGGATTTGTTCATTCTTCTGGCAGTCCATGGTACTTTCAATATTCTTTGCCTACACCACAACTCAAAAGCATCAACTCTTCTTCGGTCTTCCTTATTCATCTTCCAGCTCTCACATGAATCCAAGGCGATTGAAAACACCATGGCATGTGTTAGGTGCGTCTTAGTCTTCAAAGAGACATCTTTGCTCTTCAGCACTTTAAAGAGGTCTTTTGCAGCAGATTTTCCCAGTGCAATAAGTCGTCTGATGTCTTGAATGTTGCTTCCATGGGTGTTGATTGTGGTGTTGATTAAATCTTTGACAATTTCAACCTTTTCTCTATTTATTATGATGCTGTTTATTGGTCCAGTTGTAAAGATTTTCATTTTCTTTATGTTGAGGTGTAATCAACTTCCAAAGTATCAACAGATACTGTGTTTATACTCTTGAGTCTTCATCAGTAAATGCTTCAAGTCATCTTCACTTTCAGCAAGCAAGGTTGTGTCCTTTGCATATGGCAGGTTGTTAATGAGACTTCCTCCAGCCCTGATGCCATGTTCTTCTTCATACAGTCCAGCTTCTTGGATTATTTGCTCAGAATACACATTGAACAAGTATGGTGAAAGGATACAACCCTGACACACTCCCTTACTGATTTTAAACCGTGCAGTATCCCCTTGTTCTGTTCAAACAACAGCTTCCTGGTCTATGTACAGGTTCCTCCTGAGCACAATTAAGTGTTCTGGAATTCCCATTTGTGGTAGTTATGTTTGTGTGTCACCTTGGCTGGGCCTGGTTGCGTGGCTGGGCAGCTGGATGTAGTTATTCCCCATGGTGAGACTGGTAATCAACTCCATGGTAGAATCTACTGTGAGCAGCTGAGTAGCTGCCTTAGGGATGTGGTCTGCTTCCTGTATACAAGGAGAAGCTTTGGGGAATGGTCTCTAGTTTATGGCACACTTGGACCCTGCATGTAGCCATGTCGTTGTTCAGAAACCTGCTGTGCTCTGCCGATCTTGGAACTTACAGTGGACTTAAATTAATGGCCTGCTGTGTGGTTTGGCAACATTGGGCCTGTGCCCTTTTACTTGTCAACCTTGGGGCTTGTCAGCCTCAGCAGCCAGCAGCTGTCTGAGTGAAGAAATGCCTCTGGCTCCAGTGGGCTGGGAGCAGGAGGCAGAGCTGGACCCCAAGGTTGAGGGGCTTTCACCCAGCCCCTAGAGCCTGGCACTTTGAACTTGGACTTAACATCTCCAAACTGAGAGAATAAACTCCTGTTTGTTCAAGCCATCCTATTGGTGGTATATTCCTGTCAGCAGCACTAGTTAACCAGACACTATTCTTCTCAATGTTATCTATAATATGTTATGATCCACATGATCAAATGCTTTTTCGTAGTCTATGAAACACAAGTATACAGCTTTGAGGTATTCTTTGCTTTCAGCCAAGATCCATCTGACATAAGCAATGATACCCTTGTCCCACATCCTCCTCTGAATCCAGTTTGCATTTCTGGAAGTTCCCTGTCAATGTATTGCTGCAACCATTCTTGAAATATCTTCAGCAATATTTTATTTGCATGTGACATTAATGATATTATTCGATAATTTCTACATTCTGTGGGATCACCTTTCTTTGGAATGGGTACAAATATGGATTTCTTCCAGTCAGTTGGCCAGGTAGTTGTCTTCCAAATTTCTTGGCATAGATGACTTAGTGCCTCCAGCACAGCACCCATTTGTTGAAACATCTCAATGGGTATTCCATCAATTCCTGGAGCCTTGATTTTCACCATTTCCTTCAATGCAGCTTTGACTTCTTCCTTCAATACCATTGGTTCTTGATCATATGCCACTTGCTGAAATAGATGAACATTAACCAATTCATTTTTGTACAGTGACCCTGTGTATTGCTTCCATCTTCTTTTGATGTTTCCTGCATCATTCAATATTTTGCCCATAGCATCTTTCAGTATTGCTACTTGACGCTTAATTTTTTCTTCAGTTCTTTCAGCTTGAGAAATACTGAGCGTGTTCCTTCCTTTT